TTACATTTGTCAGTTCAACATGTATTAGCTATCATCACAAAGAAATCAATAGTGATTGGCTTAAATTACAGTTGAGAAGCCAAAGTTAAAGGCTTTTAGTGTTTAATGCGTAGTGCTGACATTCGTCATTCCTGTTTTCTTGGTATCCAGCACTGAGTAACTGATACTCTTTTATGACTTCTTGTATCGCTACCTATTTTCTAGAAAATGAAATACCTTACCAGAACCAGGTGCAGTGTGTACCCACTGTCTGATAAAAGATTGGTTATACTGCCGTGTGACAAATCAATATTACTACACGCTTAACAGATTTTTTGGTTGTACGCGCCAGCCTACTTGAGATAAACTCAGAAGACTTAAGATAAATTTTACATACAACGCGATTAATGCCTTGCTGTGTTCATTGGTGCCAATGTGATATTATAGCGTAAATTTACGCAGAACTTGTTAAGTATCATGAAAGGTTACTGCGCTACCCATTAAAATTGTCGCTTTTGCCTAACTTCAGACGATTGGACAACCTCACGTGGGCAAATTGATTTTGAGAAGTAGGGAATTTACAGTGATACTTCAGTATTTCAAGTCGGACGACTTTACTTACACTTATACTTTTGTACGTGGAAACTTAAATACAAACGACTGAAGATTCCAGCCTAGCAATGTAAGCAAAATACATCAGTTACAACAGCCACAAAACAATTCTAAATGTATTTCGTACACCTCTAATTCGAGTGAGTGAAGCTTACAAATAATGGAAACTGCATATTTTGTCAAAAATAAATTCAAAAGAAGCTAACAGATACATATGAATTGTTTACATTGAAAAATGTAAGTTTTACATAATTAACTATTTTTAATAGAAAAATAAAGCTCAGTTTAAACTGATCCAAATCACACTTAAATGCAAGTGAACCCAGTTACCTCTGCTAAAGGGGTAACATACGTGCCAATACCCTAGACACAAAAATCCATCTATTATTATCTTGTTGTGGAAATAATTTTGGCTTCGATGTTAGTTTTAAGAGTATTGTTGACAAGTTCCTATACAAAGAGGTTGCTTTTTAAATAATTTAAGACGAAATACAAACAAATTCTCCTTATACCCCACGATAATCTCCGAACGAAGTCGTCTAGGGATTAAAAACTGCGGCCACCAATTTTTCGGGTGACTGGTCTGAGCAAATATTAAACCTGGTGATACACATTTCTCGGCAATTTTTCTGCGTTCAAGTGAGTCGTTCAGACAGCAATTAAACTGTTGTCCATCAAACAGCAATGTGCACAGAAAGTGAGGTGTTAAACGCGAATTTTAGTACAGCAGTCAGACGCTGGTCATAAACTACAAGGATGTATTTTCCGCAGTATCACCTTTACAATTAAATAATACAGCTTTGTTAAAATATATATGAAACTGTTCCATTATCTGTTGCTATGCTTTATCCTGAAGAAACCATCTTATTAATTTGAAAAACAGAAATTCTCAGAAGGAACATACCCACTTTACTGGCATCTCGGAACTGTCAACTCTAATGTTAGTGGCGATGTTTACCAAAAAAGAAGGAAGACTGAGGTAGCTTTTATGCTGGAAACAGAATACTACGGAACCACCACTGGAGTACAAAGTCACTTTAACACAATTTAGAGTCAAGAGCAGCATGAATAATATGTCTAAGAATCGTGAAAAACATAAGTATTGGAGAAATAATGCGAAATTCTTAAGTCATTGGCACAGTTAGGGACGCCAAAAAAATATGAATGTCCATCGTGATATAACGAGGAAATGAAGTATTCTTCACAATGACGTCAGGTCATGATTATTCGTTATTCTTGGAATCATACAACTAGTTTACGCGTATTACAATCATCTTTACTTAAAATTATTATTTTGCTGAAACAGGAAATATTTTACACTACTAGTTGTACTTCAGTATGTGTCCCAACATCTTCGTTCACTTTCATTCGTCTTAGTATGACTTAATCCAACTAACTTACTCTGACTAATTGTTCACTATGCATATATAAGTGCTGAAAATAAGCACTGCATGCCTAACTGCTGCGGTCAATACTGAAAAATAGCACGCTCTCTCGACATCGTCTATTGAAACCAACCAACCAATCAGCAAACAGTAGGTTTCACACAGAGTACGTAGTGTGACGGCTTCACACTTGTCTGTGAATTTCATGTGATGTGATTGGTCTATTTCACCAGAGGTGTGACAGTAAATATGAATACAACGAAAACATAATTCAACAGGGGATAGGGGAATGTGAATTGATAACATATGAAGATTGTAATGAATAATATATTTCGTTTGTGGAGCGTCCCTGAATTTGATTACAATTCAGTTGAGACGAGGTCACAAGTGAAAAAAATTATAAGCAAGGTAGGCTGTGTCTAATGTGTATCCAAGTAGCTATGAGGCAAACATTTTTAGTTCATCGCTTCGAAATTTGATAACAGCTCAGTAAAAGTGAGGTCAAAAATGGAAAGCCCAAAACAAATTTGATAGAACATATTGGGCCATGTTTAATGCACTTTATACAGTCGAGGGAATACATTTGTCATGATTTGTGTGTACGAATAAATGATAACTATTCACTTATGACAAGCCCACGGTTTAAAAGTCCAAAAGTATTTGAACTTAAATGGATTAACTACAACAAATGAAAACATATACTTATCATGACTGAAATACAAAAAAATATGAAACACAAAAATTCAAAACGAATTAAAGGGGGGGGAGGGGATGAAAACTGAAAACCCTTAGATGAAAAAGGATACTTGTCATAAGTGAAGTGTAAATTTTTTCCATTACTGAGCACAGTTTACGAGGTTATGTACTTAAACCTTGGGAATCCAAACGAAACAAGGTGGGGGTGATTGTGTTGATTCATAGACGAAAACATATACTTCCCATAAGGAAAATGTTAACAGTTGTGATAACAGTTCACCCGTCATCCCTTTTCATATTAAAAGTACGGATGTTTGCATAGAGGTATATAAGCAGTACGCCGTACATACAGAGATCATTCTTACAGGATTTATAAGTCATGCAGGTGAGTTAGATTTTGGGTGTATATTTGTCCAATTCTATTATAAGGAAAACAAGTCCGATAATGTGTTAAACACGGGTATTCAACATTCTACAACAAGTCGTAGGAGAAGAATATCTTCTGGCAGACTGCATGAATGAGAACTGTAAAAAGGGTGTAGAGATTTTGAGAAGCAATGATCAAGGCACCAGGAATGTAGACATGGACGATGATACGTTGCCAATGCCTAGCAAGAGACCGAAAAGGTAGGTACCGTTGTCTGTCTAACACATTTTTCAGGGATGCCAAGAAAAATGATAAAAATTTCCTTTACAACTCAATGGATATTGATGTAGCCGCCAGTGAGGTTGGTTGCATCAAACCACAATATCCAGATTATAACATATTTGATGACTTCGTGGCCCCAATTCCAAGGTATTAACCTAATTGAAAGCCCTTCATTTTCAGTACTTCGGGTGCCCCCATATTCCAGTCTTCATCTCCTATCGGCAAAAAGACGTGTGTGTGTGACCGGTAGGAATAATTGTCACAATTTTTATTCATGCTTTAGATTGCCGTCTAACGAATATGCTACTGAATCCTCAATTAAGAAATCACTCGGTAATTACTTGAAAATAATTATTTATTTAAAGATACAAATATGGAAATCATTAACCTGTGCACGAAAATATTGAACATTGTGACTACTGACAGAAAATCTCGACAGCAAACCTACCCTCCAGCAAACGGGGACTTAACACTGCAGTTTCCGATCGAGAATGAAGACCAGTTAGAGATGCTGGAAGCATCTTTAAGAGACGAAAAGTACAAACAGCAATATGTGAGTTGACGTATTTAATTCTTATTTCTTGTAGACTGCTAAGATGGCTAGCTGCCTTCAGAGTGATCCAAAGTTATCACTTAAGGTCATGATGCACCATGTTATAAAACCTGAAGTGGGTTTGAAGTTTACATTCCAGGGGACTTTGACAAAGTCAAGCATTGTGCCTTATGCCTTTTATAAAATAATGAGATGTAAGTTTCATTAATGAAGTAATTAGTTCTCTAGCTTTAATTATGTCGCACTTCTCCGGCCAACTAATGACGACAAGAGAGATTGGTGAAATGATGGATAGGGCCACGAAATCGTACTTTCATAATTTGAAAGATCGTGTCCAAAGGCGTAAGCGGAAGCAAGGAATTCAGGTAATTTGCGAAACGCCTGCTTACTTCTATAAGTGAACGTTTATTCAACATGTAGTAATCACAACATTGTTTTCATTTTTAGGCAAATGAAAAAGATACCGGGGGATATAACAGTGGCACTTATGTAAGTAAACTTTATAAATGTAAATGCTCAGAATGTTCTGAGCACAATTTTTCACCCACTAATATTTTATTTTGCTTATTTGCAGGATGCTGCCAGTGGATCGCACTTGACGGGATTGCAGTGACATTGTACTACAGTTTATAAATACAAAAGTCTCAATTATAAAAACTGATTTCTTCTGCAAACTAAATGAATTTCGCCGGCGTAGGACACAGGTGATGATAATAAGTAGAAGTCTTTTCGTTCTAAAGTAATGCGAGTCAGTGCTGAAAATGATCTGCGAAGGCCTGAATTAGGCTGAAAAAATTGCCACTACATGCTGAATTTAGTCTTTTCGTTCTAAAGTAGTGCTAGTCAGTGCTGAAAATGTTCTGAAATAAAGCTGATAAGCAAACCCGGTAGGTTCTGATCTACTCCTAACAATGCTTAAAAGAAGAACACGGTTCTGAATTAGCGCTAGTTATGCTGAAAACTAGCACTGAGTTCTAGTCTGTGCCATTAAACAAACGATTTCAGAACAAATTCAGAATTTACTCACTATAAAATGCTAGAATTATTTCAGAATTACTGAGATTTAATTCAGAATTATAACAAGCTTGGGTAAAATAGTGTCAACTACAATTTTTAACATATTCACCTTTGTTTTGGGCACATATTGGGGTGAGATCATAAACTTTGCCGAGAAAAGACACCCAGCAGTCGTCAGGTGAATTGTGTAACAGAATGTCATTCGGTGTAAAATAACGTTTTTTCATTTTCCGCTTTTGAGATTTCCATAGCTATTCAGTCAGATGTTAGTTTAAACAAGCCTAAATGGCACCAACCTTTAGTCTAAAAGTTCAGACTTCATTCGATACTGAATAATTTATGTGATATGCAATAACATAAGAGTTATGATGCATTGAAAGTCTGTCTGTAACTCTTTGAAGTTAACATATGAGCTTCCAATATCCAATATCCAATATCGTTTTTACGAGCTAGTATAAACCAATTTGATTTCTTTGTGCTCGCTTCTTGATTGTGAGGTATAGGTTCTTGATCTTCGGTAAACTTCTGCGTAGCTTGTCCCGCCACTCGACTGTCGTAGCTTTGGTTGACTCCAAAGGGAGTAGTGCTGGGATTAATTATATGTGGTTTGTAGTATGAGGTATGTTAAGACTGTTACTACTGTGATTGGAGTTGATCCTTTCGCCAGTTAGTCCTTCGGCATTGTCGACAAGAGAAAAGAGATAGTAATAATAATAATAATAGTAATAATAATAATAATAGTAATAATAATAATAATAGATATAATTAGTGAAGCTATTCAGACTAAGAGACAGAAACGAAAATAGGAAACGTAACAACAGTCAGCTCATGAAGTTTGAAGAATAATATATATATCAGTAATAGTAATAATAATAATAATAATAATAGTAATTATAATATTAATAAGTTGTCAGGAGAGTAAGACGGGAGAGAATGTAAAGAAGTAAAATGACGAGTTTAATTATCTACCCTGATTGGTAAATGCGATTTTAAGGAGATAGGCCATTTGGATGCAGTCCTTGTATCGCTGCATGGTTGTCCAGCCTTCGCTTAAAGGCGTCCAAAGACGGTGCCATAGCTACATCTGCCGGTAAGGAATTCCAGGGACGACAAACCCGCAGTGAAAAGAAGTGGGAGCGCACCCGGGTCCTTGCCCTCTGGTGAGCTATCCTTCTGGGATTTCCACGTGGAAGCCTATACCTACTCAATGGCAGAACACCTTTGTTTGGGTGATTCTGGTCATTTGTTATTTTGTAGGCAGTAATCAAATCCCCCCTAAGCCGACGGTAACTAAGTGTGAACAGGCCTAATTTCTTCAGCCTTTCATCATATGGTTTGTTTCGGAGACCAACCACTCCTTTTGTTGCCCGTCGTTGGACTCTTTCCAAGAGGTTGGCATCTCTTCTCAGCTTCCTAATCTCACGAACTCGAGTAAATTAGCTGAGGTTATCGTGCTGTGTTGTATGCATGATTTTCCAAGTTAAAAGGCCATAAATTCAGTGGAAGTCAGCAGAAGTGAATATGTTATGAATTGTTTTGTAGTGCGACATTTGTGAAAACGAGAAGAAGAATAAAAGTATCAGGCCAAGTAACTGCTGATGTGCTTTCCTATGCATACGGAATTAAATATATTGCTCTTGAGAGCACATACCTAAATGCTACAAAGTTTTGATCTTCTCTGCTAAGGAGGATGATACAGGTGCACACCGTTTGCGCTATTGCCATTCATTTTGACTTTCACGATTGTTAACTGGAGATGAGACAGTCTAATCTGGTCACTCAGACGACAACCTTGAGCACGCTATCTATCATGACACTGTTCTCAGGTCATACAACAGGAATCAATACCCTCCAGGATCATGCAGCAAGATTCAATTCAAAAGGAGAAAAATTAAGATCATAAAATTTTACTCATCATGAAACAATGTAGACCCAGAGGAGAAGAACATCTAAGGATTACAGAAAACATTAGAGAGCAAGACCCTGGATTACAGTGTCTAAATTCTAGTGAGTAAAATTAATGTCGGACAAAACGGTAGCTTAAAACGCAGGCAGAGGTCTCGTCAAAAGTGAAGAGGAGATTGGTGAAATTAAAAATATTGGAGAGGAACTAGGCAGACTTGTGAGAGTTCAGTTATCTAGTGATAGGAGACAGCATCCACAAGCAAAAGGTGTATAAAAAGTAACGTGTTTCCATGGATTATCATATCAAATATCAGACAGATTTCATCTCTCTCAAGAAAGCGAAGACGCAACCTTCTGGACTTAAGATTGAGAAGAGCACCCTTTGAAGTACAGGATCCCTATCTGGTGCAGAAAAACTTCAAGACCATTTTGAAGGCCTTCATAAAAGGTGGAGATGTACCACAATTCGAGTTCAACCCCAAAAAGCTGAAGGACAGTAGCGCTGCAGAACTGAGATTTCAATGAAATAGTTATTAGCAGTAGTGAGCAGCAATAAAGATTTGCACTAAGAGACCCCACGATGATTATGAAAGGAGAATAAACAGTGGTGTTAGTACGGTGAACATATCCGTCCCTACTAAGTTGCTTTTGCATTTAGAACTGATAAGAAAAACTAACGAACTTAGAGACAAACTAACATGTGCGAGCGATTTTATAGTCTTCTGTATGTTTACTAGAAGATACAGTTAACTATGCCGCAGCTTTCAACCCAAAACTCAAGATTTACAGCTGCCAACGACTAGTCCAAAGTTACTGTACCAGCAGTTTCTACAAAATGTGGTGCACATGCATCACTTGGAGAGATAGTGGTTACGTAGAAAGCATTCACGTAGCCGAAACAGTGTTGGACAACATTGGGAATGAACATTTGAACATCATTGTTGAAAACTTGATTCTATGGCTTTGAGTTCTTTGCAGATCCTCTCCTATTCCTTAAATATCGTCTCTAAGTTACAACTTGTGTGATATGAGTTTTATACCTCCCCCGCCTCCTTTGATTTAAACTGTATTATTCGTCTTCCGTTTTAAGATTTTCTTTAAATTTCCCCTGTTATTATGGAGTACTCAATGGTTAAAAATAAGTTGTTGTATTAATGCTCCCAGCACTTTGTCCGACAGTGGTGTGGGGCGATTACCTTGTTCATCTTCTGAAAACATTCGCTACTCGATTTTATTTATACAAACAGAATTTCAATCCTATTCGGTTGGATAATTCTTATTAGTTCTCATCTATTTAGCATTCCTAATTGATTATTAACCTTGTGGCATTTGTGAAAATAATAGATTTGGATTCTTTCGTACTTTTAACAGATAGACTTATCCATAGAATACTATCCCCAGGCCGAGAAATCCAAAGATGAATGTCTGAAACAGGTCCAGTGAAAAGTCAGTGCACACGCTGGACTACATTTATCACAGTATCACACCTCACCGGTATGAATAAGTGACCATTCAGGCTGGCACAAAGGATGCCGCTTAATGAGGACGGTTTTATTAGGCAGGTGGAGGTAAAGACGGGCAGGAGAAAGCTGGTGAAGGATATGAGAAAATCCGTCTTTTGAAAGCCACAGATGATGGGCCTCATTAGATGTCCCATCACAAGTCGCAATTGAGAAATGTAAACAGCTGGATTAGATGGTTGTCAAGCTTACCGTTGTAGGTCAAGGGAACCAATTAGATAGTAATTATGACTTTAGTGTGTCATGTATTCAATCGACTTGATACCTGAATAAATTATTATAAATGTTATTTCATTGAGCGCTTAAAAGACGAACTAACGATATTGGAGGGGGAAAAGTACGTCTAATTTTGCATTGAAGTTGTACTTTATACAAAATTTTACGTTTATTGTAAATAGAACCAATTGTGGTTCAATTTAGGCGTGTGTGTGTTTTGTTTTGCTGCCCTTTTTTGTTAAGTGAAAGCCATTCCGTCTTTAGCCATTATCTCCTTGGCATTTAGACGCCGGATAACCTTGCAGTTGAAGAACAACATCTTAAAGCCACCGTACGAATAATTTCCAACGAAGATACCCTCTGAGTCTTTGGCTCAAAATCCAAAACGAAACCGAATTGTTCAAACAGATTTCAACAAAAACCAAAGTTGTGGAAGATTCTTCAAGATTTATTGTTCTATCTTAAAAGCGTATCAGACGATTATAGTACGAACCTTTAATTGTGAGATTATCCTGCATCGAAATATCTAGGATGCAATGGCTGAAACAAGGTGACTCGCATTTAAGAAAGACGTGCATTCAAACGAAAGATGTGCCATAAATCATCCACTTTACACAATAGTTTAAATACTTCACAAAGGTGATATAACAAAAATAGAGCCAGCTGAACGGTTGTTAAATGATCAGACCAGAAACTGTTAACTGAGTAGATCGGAACCTGTCAGTAATACTATCAAGAATTTTCGCTACCATCGGAAGGAAAATATTTAGATCTCATGATACTAGTTCGGCACTTAATAGCTGACTCTTTTTCAGCGCAATCGATAATGCAAGGCAGACAAAAAACTTATTTCTCAACCAACAACTAGACAAAGTAATGTGGTTAACTAAGCAGCAGTCTGAACATCGATTTAACAGCTGGTTAGTGTAAATGCATTGAAAAAGCCTACAAATAAGTGTCAATATGATATACAACAATACTTTTGATTGCATTGCTCTGGCCTCCTGGCAAACAGAAAACGTTAAACCCTCATTAATATGTGTACATCACTAATAGTTGACAGAAAAAATGAAAATAATCGTAGATACAATTTTAAACCGAACATTAATTCAAGTGGTGTGAATATTGAAAAAGTACAAATCATCGGATGTTATTTTTGAAGTTCGTTTTTAATCGAACAATTCGTAAGCTGATCGGTTAAATTAAAATTTTACGCCTCCACATACCTACTGCATTTCGTGCGCTAATTACAAATGTCTCTCTTTAGGAAGTAAAAAGCGGTTTGATACGCTAGCACCTGAGAAATTTGTGATCATTAACTTTTTATGAAGTATAAATGGTCCGAAAATTCACAAAATTATGCGATCACCTAAAGCACAGTACCACTGTACCAGTTATACGGTATCAGCTTTGAAAGCATCAATCGAACTCAGGAAGGAGGTTGTCCGATCCTCACAAGACCTGCTGGCAATGTTCTGAATATCTGCAGGGCTTAAATGATTTTGACACTCCATTCGAGTAATACTAGCTCAGAGGATAGCATTAATGCATCATTGCTGTGGTCCAGAGTAGTACTTCTCATAAGA